TAACCGAATTGTTCCTAGAACAGTAAATAACATGGATTGCTTGATGTCCAAACGGTTTGAAGCTGCAGCGTGTCTTTGGCATGAGTGACACAGAAACGAAAACTAGTACTCTCTAGTTCCATTGTTCTGTGCACTACATGCAGTTTGACACATATACACTGTCAGTAAATTTATGATATGTATGTTTATGCCTCAGAATTGATCCCTGCATGTACAATACTCAGTACGAGTGAGAGCGACTCAGTGTAACACACGGAATAACCGAATTGTTCCTAGAACAGTAAATAGCATGGAATGCTTGATGTCCAAACGGTTTGAAGCTGCAGTGTGTCCTTGGCATGAGTGACACAGCAACGGAAACTAGTATATTTTTGTTATTCATTATTGATTATTCACATGGATGCACAACAAAATATTTAATATCTTGCATGCCCTACTCAGTTAATGTAAACGCATATTTGACAAACGATCTATCTTTCTTACATTCACCACATGTAATTGTAGTTTGACTACATATTTATAATTAATGTAACACTCGTAATGCGGCACCTGAGCCTGTGAAATCCTTGCTCATACAAAATGCCAATCATATCATATATGACTGTGAACGCAGAAAGAACAGATAAAATTAAATGATTTTTATAGTCACTCATTTCATCAGAATAATTAGTAGTCGCTCTTAGCATGAGCGAAGCGGTTACAAATAACTAAGTAGACCATTATCGGTATATCTCGTGAATGAGGGTCATTGAGATTAGATGATCAACCAGAACCCACGCTGTATAAGTGTTTGATTTGAAGTAACACTTTATTACAGTAAGTAGGACGCTAGTACGGTGACTTCGTCTTGGTGAATTAATAGACGAACATCAAACGTCAGAACCTTCTATCACTGCTTTGTACGAAACAAATATTATGGGATTATTTGTTGGAGATACCAATTATGACTACTTGAACTATAATAATGTTAAAATTTTCATTACAATAAGAAAGTCGCGCATTTAATGCGAAATATGAGTAAAAATGGAATAATGACTACGCAACAGTGTACGGAATCGCACATTAAAAGCTGCAGTTATATAGTAGCTCATAACTAACAGACATTGTACTACCAAGCCATTATCGACCTTACGCAGGCACTTAAAGTGCCTACAATGCTGCATGAGGCACATTGACGGGTAGTACTTGTCTTATGCAAATAATACTTATTATGATTTTCCAACACTAAAGTATAAACGACTGTCGTAAGATATTTCTGTCAGAACAATGAAAAGGAAATATTTTTTTTCATATTGCACAATGGACATACCTATATAAGCTAATACATTCAACTAGTACAGTATATTACCATATTAGCCCATATAATATAACATGTTGTATATTATTGTATGTGTTAGTAACTAACATAATTTCCACTATAAACACATTTAATTTTTTATTATGTTTAACGGCTTACTCATATTATATCACTGGTCCAGATTAATTATTATGCTATTTTGGATAAACGCTGTATGGAAGACACTGTCGACAATTGTTACAGTGGGCTAGGTGTCGCCTGCGGCCGTATATCTACAAAAATACAACACTAGTTAGTTGTGTGTTACAAATGCAACCAAAATAAACACAATAAGCCACAAATATAATAACCACAAAGCCTATATTCTTATATTATCATTTACTCAAGTACCAATCTAATAAGTCTTACTAAAGTGTCGTACCTGGCTGCGGTGCTGATGGAGCGACTTGTTGTGCCTGGTCGCGGGCCGACTCTAGCTTTTTTACTACAAAAAAACAACACTAGATAAGTAAATACTCATACAAACACTATAAATTTATTATTTCAAGAAATTTTAGTTTTACACTTACTTTTTTTCTTCAATTTTCTATTCACGCGTTTAATGTCTTTTATACGTTCTCTTCTTTTAATTTTCAAGTGCATGATAACATGTACCATTAAGTTGGCCGACGTTATCTACAAAAAGAAATAAAAATGAGACAAAACATAAAACAATAAAGTCGGCTCATCTTACTCGCAAACATTTCAGGTTTCGTAAACGTACATTGTGTGACCCTACACCCTGCGGCCTCTGCCAGTTCGCAGTGGGCTTTCGCCAACTCCTCTCGCCTTCCACGCTCATATTGAGCGTTCCTGGCGCGCTTTTCCTACTGTAAACATGTAAATGTGGTTCATCTATCTATTACGTACAATAAAACTGTAGAAAAGTACTATATGTAGAAAAAACATGGCTGAACCTGTTATTATATCGAGTGCGAACTCAAAAATATAATTAACTATTTTGTCTGCTTGTCTGTGGGTTTGTACACTATAATATTAAAAGCCGCTTATTTGCTTTAGATGCAGTTTTCACTGGTACTGTGGTAAGCATCATTTAGTACTTCTTTCATGTCAAGCGGTTCTTCAGTAAAATCGCAAGCAACAGACACAGCGAATATTTTGTTTTATTCTGTACCGATTTTGTATTCGTCAGAATGGTGGCATCAAATGTGATGTTTCGTATACAAAAACAAATTTAATTGTGCGGCTCAATCCCTAGGTACAGTTACTGTATCAAACGCAAATATAAGTTTGTCGAATGTTAGGTTGTCCACAGTAAACTGTACGCTATAACTATAAGACCTATGGTTGAAATTATCTTAAACCGATATTATAAATGTAAGGCCCGGCCGTCGCACTTGCGACCACTTGGTTAACGAAACATTTTCAATAAACATGTAAATGATCATCACTATAGACGCGGACGCCTTGCTATATGTAGGGTCAGAGAGAAGTTCTAAGATGTCAAAATAGAGAACTTATACAAGTATTTAGAAACGCTTATTTTCCTAGGTTATTAGGTAATTGTAATATTTGTTTTATACAAACCGAAGACAGTGGGGTGCTATTTGCACCACGGGGTCTTCCACGCTTTGGACTTGGCCTTCCTATAGAGACGATTGATGTGGATGGCTCTGGTTCCTAGGTCTGGCTTGGCTGCTCCTGATAAAATAAATAAATCGGTTTAGGGACAACTTTTGATTATCAATTGACATTGTCATTGGCAATTAGATACATACCTTATTCAAATTGTCTGAGTCTTTTACTGATTCCATTGCTACCGTAATCCTTATTCCTTTGTAAGAATGGAACCAGTTCCATTGCGATTGTAATCTGAAGTAGAACGCCTGGCAGTTGCAGCTATTGCACTTGGTCACTAAGTACTGAGTGCAGAATTCAGAGCTACGTAATTCTTCAGACTATTTGATATATAACACTGAAAATTTATCCAAGCCGTCTTCAGCTGAGTAGAGACAATACAATAGCAGAAAAATTGTATACCACAAATGCAATGACAATATGACTAGTATTAAATAGACGACACGACACGCAGTCTCCACCAATATTACCATCGTTCGAGCATATATTCTTTCCAGAGCTTTTCTGCAAGTATCAGATTTGTATTGGAGCAACTATGTTTATTTTGGTCACATTTGTAACACACAACTAACTAGTTTTCTATCTTTGTCAATACACGGCCAGAGCCGACATAGACCGACACGTAACCCACCGATGACACCACTGGCAACGCCACCGTACCAGCACTTCCCGTCACAACAATACTTTTATCCAACACTGTCACTACTACAGCAGCAGCCAGAGCAAGTACAGACTCAAATTTCCTGTAAGTATTACATTTAATTCCACCACTCTGTGAGTATTAGATTTGTATTGGAGCAACTATTTTTATTTTAGTCGCGTTTGTAACACACAATTAACTGGTGTTGAATTTTTAGTAGCAGAGCAGGAGCCCGATATGCAGTGTCCAACAACATTGCCATCCTGCCATGCCATGGCATTACCATCGCTTGAGGATGTATCATTTGAAGATCTTTTCTGTAAGTATTAAATTTGTATTGGAGCACCTATGTTTATTTTGGTCGCGTTTGAAACACACAATTAACTGATGTTGAATTTTTAGTAGCAGAGCAGGAGCCCGCCGAGACTGCGTCTCCATCAATATTGCCCACAGAGGCAGATTTTCCAGATCTTTCCTGTAAGTATTAAATTTGATTGGAGGAACTATGTTTAGTTTGGTCGCACTTGTAGCACACAATTAACCGGTTTTGAATTTTTTAGTAGTAGAGCAGGAGCCCCGATCACCACCAACATTGCACCTACCACCGCAACTAGATTTAAGTTCATTATTGCGTGAGTATTAGATTTGTATTTGTGCGGCGTTCCTATAAAATGCTAGTCATATTTTGATTGCATTTGCAACATACAACTTATCTGCTTCTGTATTTTATTCTACTCAGCTCAATACGACTTTGAGAAAATCTACGATGCTCTTGATCAAATAGGTCATTGAAGACAGAGTCTCCTAGCAGATGACATCGTTCCGAAGACTCCCGAATCCTAAACAAAAAAAGTACTTCTTATAGATATTGCACAATATATTACACAAACGTAATTAATAAAACATTTTGTTTGTTTGTTGTTTTAATTAACAAAAAACACAAATACGTGATTTAATATTACCAAACACGTTATATGTAATATGGGCAATAAACAATGTATCAATGTATTTTCAATGTCATTAATTTTTAATCAGAAGAAATAAATGATGTCCTGATTAGATGATTCTCCTTCAATCCATCAAATTAATGTATTAATTGTTGAAAAATAAGTTTGTAAAGTTGTCAGGTTGTGTATGTTCGTAAAAAGTTTTCGTTGTCTGCTAATAGAGGCGCTGTTCTTTTTCTTTTTGCCTATGTTTGTTTTGTAATGACGTTGCGTAAGCATTCTGACAAGTGCTTTTATTGAAATATTGCCTAATCCCAATAATAATTAACTTTACTTTTCAGTACTGTACGTTTTTAGATGAAAACTGTTACTAAAACAGTGTTAATTAGTTATTTTATCTACACTTCCTATTAAAAGATTGAACACTTTGTTTGTATACTCACGCCGGAATACTGAAAAGCTACTCAGATATATGTTGTTCCGAAATATCGTGCCGTCTCTGTCATTTTACAAAGAATTTGTAGAGACAGAACTGTACCTAAACGCGATTTTAAATTGAGTGGCGTTTGAGTATTTGGATATTAGTATTATAAAATTGAACTATTATTAAACTGTCAAACACCAAGCGGTCACCGGTGACCGCAACCTATTGTTCTATAATTGTGTCTATAATGACGGTACTCAACGAGTTAATTTGAATTAATATATTATTATAATTATTGTCAAGGATATTTCATTTTTTAAGAAAAGTTATGTTATGGCCTACAAAATATCACGCTACGCAAAATAGAAACGGAGTAGCGGATAAAACCGCTCGGGATGTTTAGTTCATTTTTACGTTATAAAACTGAAGGGTTTGTTTGAACCGCACCGGTTCGAATTTTAAAATTATCTTTCTCGATAGTCCATTTATTGATAAAGACTAATGCTATAATATATCACGATGTATCTAATAGGATCCGAGCAAAGACGAATGCGACTAGAGTAGGTTAACGTTAAATAAAAAAGTGACCAGATAAATAGTGAAACGTGGGTTTTACATTGTACAGTGGCATTAACTGCTTGAATGTACTGATATGAGACAATAGAAATACATTGTGTCTCGCGTAGATCCACGTTTAGACACACGACGGGTTAAGGGCCATAATGTGTATATCTGCCAACCTCTTCGGGGATAAAAGGCATGATGTTATGTTATATTATAACAGCAAAATGTTCAGACGTAAAAATACTGAGTTATGAATGGATCTTAATAATTGCCCTTCGAACAGAATGAGGGCGCGTCTAGTTATGTGGCAAGAGACTGTAGTTACTCTAATAAAAATATAATATTGAGAATTCAAATGAATAAAGTGAGTGTTTCTTACATTAGGATCATCCAGCTGCACCTCCCCTTCGTCATCGCTTACAGTATAATCTCGGCAAGAACTATAGCTGTCCCCATCAGACTGCTATTAAGGAAATCTTCTAATTCTGTCGTTCCGGTCATAAGAAGAGTTCGGACTACGGGAATTGCATATGCACAAGTTTATGCTGCGGCTAGGAATTCGTTCAGTCCACGGTTCAGTGCACGATTCCTAGCGGTGCTCCACGGGGTCTCTAATTGGCCCTTTACTGTTGTCCATCTTATATATAGGTGACATCGAGCTCTCTTTCCATAACTCTAATCTTCTTATTTGCTGACGTCATTAAAATTTACTCCAAAATAACATCGATGGAGGATATGCTGGCTTTTCAAGATTACTTGAGGTGCACGGATGAGTACCAATTGAGTATGGCCTAGATCCGGCAAAATACTCAGTAAATAATTTCAATAGAAAACGGTTCCCATTGTTTCATTTGTCCGAGCCAAAGCTCTTGTAAATAGACGAAAATTTGCTACCTCTTTTAAAGGCGTAAATTGTTAAAACTTTTCTTTTATATTAAAAATTCTGTCCAAAGACATCGAATGTAAAAAAAATTAAATCATTTAGATTCAGTGCACCTATACCAATGCTTCCTTCCTTAACCAATTATAGAAGTAAGTACCTTTACGGCACTTATTGTAGTTATTTTTGCAGCATTATGTATTGCCTTAATTATAATTTTCATTAGTACTTTCAGTACTATATGTGTTGACATTTTTCTATTCTCTGTTACCAATCGTGAATTGTAATCGGTTTTTTGTTACCCATCGCTTTCTTTTTTTATATTTCTTCTTAGTTAAATTGTATAGCTACTGGTTTTCCATGTGAATAATAAACGAGTAAGCCGTTGCGCCTTTCCCGCTCATACAGCGCATTTCTTGCGCCCCTTTCTTCCTACAAATAAAGTTCGTTATTAATACATATATCGAGTTCCAAAGAGAATGTACGGTATATGTACATCTTGTGACATTGGGCTGAATAATTATGTTATTTTGGAAAAACTATGAGCTTGTGAAATGTTTTACTACTCATGTGATGTATCTATGTCAGAGGCTCACTGTGGGCTACGTGACATTGACTCTGTCTCCAGTCAACTATAATTACTTGAACCTTCAAGTAAGCTGCAACAAAATAACCTACCTCCACATTTGCAATTATTTTTAAAATTACTTGTAGGTACTTAGGTAACCTGTTATGGTATTTGAAATAGTATGAAAAATAATAATATTGTTGTTATCAGCAATGTAAGAACTATAAAATGGGATGTGTATTGTCTTGTTACCGTTAGGTTTAACACTGCAAGACAATGTTTAAATAATCGCAATAAACCACAAATAACTTTGATTAATTGATTTTTATTGTCATTTGCATTTGTCTATCTTTCCAATGAAAAAAAAAACGTAAACTAACAGTAATCAAACTGCATTGCACAATTTTGCTTCCTTCTAAGCAAATTTCTCCAAGGACAATGTGTATTGCGAACTGTGCAAGGATTTATTCTAAAAAGTTGTGGTTTATGAAGGTAGTATTAAAAAACTATTTAGAAATGAAACTTTTGAGAAGCCTTACTTGTAATGCAAATAGTACGATATCTCCAACCGGCAGCTACTTCAATGTGGGATAGTCGATTGATGAGTTGCAGTAAACATGACTTATCCACTGCTGGTTGGTTTTCTTCTGAAATATGATAACTGTATATTAGAACATACTATAATATAAATTCACAGTAGTAGCACGGAGTCTGGAATTGTGCCCGGTGTATGGCAATAAGCTCAGCCACCATTACATGGGACTCATAAGATAAATAGTGAAAAGTGGGGGTTACAATGTACAGTGGCATAATGTACATGTACAGATGTTAGAAAGTAGACTGTCAGATTTGAGGGTTACGACGGAACAATTCAACTGATTGTATCGTTGTGGAGAACGTAATCATCATCAAGCCTATAATTAAAGTGTGGGAGAGCCATGCTTCAGCGCGAATGAGCCGGCTCGACCGGATACTACGGATACCACGGCCTCACAGAAAACCGACGTGAAGCAACGCTTGCGTTGTGTTTCGTTGTGTGAGTGAGGTTACCGAAGGCCCAATTACCCCCCTCCCTAGTCCCCGTCTCCCGAATCCCCGAATCGTCCACAATCCTCAAATTCCCAATTCCCAAAAGGCCGGTAACACACTTGTAACGCCTTTGTGTTTCGAGTGTCCATGGGCGGTGCCGATTGCTTACCATCAGGTGATACCCAATTCTTAGATGTAGGTCATCCTACATGAGGACTATCTTATTAGCCGGCTACGAAGTAGCATATTAAAATAGTGTACAAGGTTGTTGTTGAAACGGGCTTGTAACCGGTTCGACTAACCGAAAATTTTTAAATGGAATATTTTCTACCTACCCTCCACTGGCGTGGAGAGAGAAAATCTAAATCTATTTTTCTATTTCTATGATACCCTTGCTTGCTGAAAGGTAATCAAAACTCCGTAATCATTAATACAATTGGTAACTAGCCAGGGTACGAAAATTAAAAATCTAATTAGTCCGTCAGTTAGATAATGAAAAAATATTAGATACGTATTTTTTTATATTCTTGTGTAGAGCTATAATACTTAGATAAAATGGCGTTAAGTTTAGGAATGGGAGGTCGTTACGCCACAACGTGCTGTAAAATGTAGCACACTGTGACGTCACGCGATATTTCAAATGAATATATCATCGAAAGTATTGAATTTTGTGAGAAAAGAAAAAATATGTTTTAAAATCACCAGACGGACATTAAAATAAAATTTAGGAAACTATCGTATAAGGCACTCTTATTTAATAAGAATATAGTGGAAACCTACCTTCAATTAAGATTTAATACAATTTTGTTACAATTATTTTTTAATCAAGTTCGGATTATAATTATTATTGTTTTTTTTTCAACTTTGTAGCACCTTGTTATACATACAACGTAAAATATAAATAACTATAACTAATAAATATATTTGCCGAGAACCTCAAACGGCGAAATATATAATAGCCTGATTGGCAATTATGCTTTCGAACCGTTTGGGGTTGAAACTTTAGGGCCGTGGGGCCCAAGTGCACATCTTCTTTACAAAGATATTGTAAGGAGGATGGTTGACACTTCAGGTGATCGAAGGGCTGGCTACTACCTTGGACAAAGGTTAAGCATTGCCATTCAACGTGGCAATGCTGCCAGTCTTTTGGACACCCTACCTCACGGTAGCGATGAGGAAAATGTTTTCTTTGATGCCTTATGATTTTTTTTTTAAGGTGGAAATATTTTAGTTTTAAATTATTTTTTTATATTTTAAGTTGTATATATTAATTTTTATCTTATATTGTATATATAGTATTATTTCATTTAGTAATAGTTATTATTAATTTTAGAAAATTTATAACTATGAACTAAAATATTTACACCTTCAAAAAAATAAAATAAATAAGCTATAATAAGGCAGCAAAAAAAATTTTTCCTCATCGTTATTGTTTAATTTTTCATTATCACCAGTTAGTGGATGAAAGCAAAAAAAAAATGTAATTGGTCTAAATAAATCTAAACGGTATTGAAATTAACCAAAGTTATAGCATGGACAATCAATTTGAGACAAATTTATGATCTGGAACGTCATCGTATGAACCCGCTTCCACCGTAAGGTGCAGGCAGGGTACTCACCGTGAGGTACAAAAAGCGTTTAATAAATATTTTCACATACCTTATTTATTGAAGTTTCGGTGAGACCAGCAGTGGATTTTACCGCCGGAAAATCTCTTCAATCCAATCCTCCGGATATTCTTTAGGATCACTGACGTTGCTAACTTGCGGATGTGGTTAGTGTCATTAAACGTCTTTGCTCCCTGGTCTCCAGTGCAGGTGACGAGGTCTGCTGCGTAAGTTACGCAGATATAAAGTTCCATGTACTGGTTACAGGGAGACTGACACAGACACGGTTTCAGAGATCTCACGATCTCGTCGTCACGGCTACATTTCTGTGAGAATAGTGGCGAATAGCAAATGTCATCTCGCACATTATATGCGTTTGAGCATCACGTCTGTATCGCCATCTCACTCACACGCGACTCAAGCTACACGTCACGAACTGACCGGTAACTACTAATACAAATGTTTGTCGCGTACGTTTGTTTGTTGATGTGTGGAACGACAAGCAATTAAAATATCAGTCTTAATTAAGTACAATGTTATGACTAAATAATTATTTTATTTTTCAAAGTATAAGCAGCACAGTGTATATGAAAAATAACAACTGTTTGCATCGTCAAAATAAGAAGCGAACAAGGGCTTTAAAACATGTAATTATTGGTTCTAGTATGTAATTACTGGTACAACCGACAACCATGCAAGCAAGCAGCAAAGATCTGCAAAAATTCAATTTGTTTGTTTTGTTTTTTTTTAAAACGTTGCCTAACTGTTTATACGCAAGCAAAGCCACAGGTAACATCTAGTGTATACGAGCTTTCTTTGTCTAGGCAATTGGAACAATCATCTACCTGCACCTCTTTAAATAATTTTTGTTTTAAGAACACCGTCACAAATACATATTATGTAGATGTAATAAAATAGAGTAGTATTGTATATCTGAACCTTTTTTGTTTTCAGAGGGGACCCCTTTTCTTTCTTTCGTCCCTAGTTTTTTATAGGGAGAAAAAATTAAGGAGTCTGGGATTCTTACCTCACTTAAACCACCCCGGTGGCCACCACCATCACCTATCGGGGGCACCAGATCCTGTAAGAGGCCTGCTCTAAAACCCCTGCAATGTAAAGCCTGTTACGGAACTTCCCTAGGGCTCAGAGGCAAACCCTAGAAATAGACTGAGAAAGTAAGTGTTTAATTCAAATATCTCGTAATATGAGGTAGTTGGCTGAAGAATCTTTATTTTGGCTACATAATACTTGTCTCTAAACCTACTTATCTTAGACCCTCCACGTCTATAGAAATTTGATAACGATAAAAAATTAAAAAAAAAATTGTATGTTACACATTTATTGCAAGAATTTCGTTTCTTATGAGTGTTGTGCTATTAGTGTGTATACAGATATTGAAGATAATTTAATTCTCTTTGACTTTGGTCTACATTTCTTTTTTGTATCTTGAACCATTTTCGTTAACAATGGCAAATTAGTCAGAAAATATGGAAATCGATTTAAATGAGGGTAACTATAATGAGAGATAGTCAGATATAAACTTGTAAAATCTTTTATTATGACAACCCGAAACTTGTGTTCATCTACTTATCGTAGACTGTTCGCGACTACAGAAATTTCTCTATCAAAGACCACCAATGCAAATATTTCTTTCCAGAATTGAAAAGCTTTTGAGTGACATAGACCAGGGAATGTGAGACACCTACTTCATTAGAACCAACTCTATGATCACATTTCATAGTTCCCACAGGAGAAGATTACCCCAATATGGTTAAACAATATAACATCACGCCTTTTATCCCCGATGGCATAGGCAGAGGTGTGCATTACGGCCCTTAATGCCACTACACAATGTAACACCCAGTTTTCACTATTTATGTTACGAGTTACATGTGATAGAGGATGAGCCTATATACCGGGCACAATTCCATACTACATGATACTACTGATATTTTTCGGAAGAAGGTTTTTAAGAAAATTATAAATTTATTACAGTTTTTTTTGTTTATTGCCCACATGTTTTCACAACATCCCTGTGTATCTCCAGAAAGTTAGTTGTGGATGTATGATCAGTTATCAGTTTATATCAGTGTCTTTATTTATCTAAATAACACTTTAGTAGTAGGGCGCGTGACATCGCCACGACTGCACACTGTATTACTTTGCCCGACCCAGGAATCGAACCCGGGGCCCTTGTTTAGCAGTCGCATTTGCAAACCACTCGGCCAACAAGGCAGTCAAAGCAATAAGATATTAAAATTATAATAACTATGAGGACGTGATAAAAAGTTTCTGTTCTGCTCGACATCTGCCAAGTATAATAATGTATTCCCTCAATTGACGCTTTCTACACCCAAGGAAGGAGTAGGAGATGGCGACACTGACAAAAGTACTCTGCTACCATATAAGACTACAACTATAGTTGCAAAACTTCTGAAAAATTCTGAATAATTCCGGAATACTTCTGAGAAAGTTTCTTTAAATCAGAATTATTCAAAATGACTGTTTTACTTACACATCAAATTATATCTGAAAAAATAGATTAACGAAAAGTTACAATTTAAAAAGATTTTAAAATACAGATTTATTTAACCCACTAGAAGTCACTGTACTCGATTGAGTAGATACAGCTTTATCCCGAAGTGTAAATTACAGATCTTGTAAATTTTAAGTAATTTGCCTTATTATTTTTTTTACTTATTATTTTACTTCATTACGCTGTACTCAATCGAACACTTTTAATAGGTTAATACAATTTTCCCGATTTTTTTCTGTCAGTTGAAATATTCCCAAAGTTTCAGAATATTTTGGAATGCTTCCGAAATATTCGACGGGAATGATTCGGAATTTTTCCCTCCAGCATCTATAACTACAACCCAATATAAGTTATAGTAAAACATATCACAAAGGTTTAAATATTAATATATCATTGTACCCGCATTTCTATATTGAAGAATCACAGAACCCTCAGTTTATTACCCTTTCCTAACACCTATGAAATAATAATAATGGTCACCGTGGTCGGAACAAAAGTACCTAAATAAGTACCTAGTAGATGACCTAGATTAGTAACACGCACGAAGAGCTTCGAATCAAGCTTTCTCATGCGTACTGCTAAGGTGTGCGATTCTTTGTCAAAATTATTTTATTTCCTGAAGGGAAATATAAATTCTTTCCTGGGTGTCTTCAAGGTCCGAGTGAATAGGTTGCTTATGGAACGACATGCTCCATCGTAAACCGCATCATCGCAACCACCAGGTGAAATAGTGGTCAAACGTCGGCCATTCAAATATACATATATATATAAAAAAGGTTAACTTATTATTTCCTATTATTTTTCTTGGTTTTATTTTAATCTATCGCGGACTTTTTATTAGTATTATCTTTTCAATTATGTGAACAATACAATTATTATTATTATTATGTTAATTATAATAAGCCTTCATTGCTGAAAACTAGATATTAAGTAACATTAATCTAATTTATAAACGCATCAGTTATTCTAATCAGTGATCAGCATGGCTTGTTCATTTTCAAAGAAGGTAGAATTATATCAACGTAACCAAGTACTTCGTCTTCTATATTATACTAGCAAACCCTGCGAACGTAGTTTCGTCTTAGAATGTTTTTTATTACATAAGAACTTTTTCCTAACAATAACATAGCCAATAAAAACAATTAGGGAAATCCGTTCACGTGTTCTCGAGATTTACGCTCAGCAACACTTCTAGCGATTTATTTTTAGATTATAGTTTTTTTTTGTTACCTACATAGTTCACATTCTTTCCTTTCAGAGAAGGTAGCTTTATATTAATAAGATCTAGCACTACTGGCCTCTAAAACATCTAAACCATCTCTTAACTAAACGTTACTTATCATGATGTACGACCTAAACTAACCCATTTAAAGATAAAGATATATTTATTTCTAAGTACATAGTACACTGAGATCTACGTGAGACACAATTTTCTACCGTGTCTCATATCGGTACATTCAAGTGGTTAAACATAGAATCACATATAGGTACTATCATTTCTGGTGTAGAAATATTAAGTAAGCTAAATCCATGCAAATCTTAGATATTACAATAATTTTCATACGATACAATTATATTAATTCTAAATTCATTGAAAAAGAATACGTCATGTTTTGTAGAAATTACCTCTATTATGTTAACAAAAGGACAAATTTAATACCAAATAAAATAAATCTATATAAATAAAAATGAATTGTGGTTCGTTAGTCTCGCTAAAACTCGATAACGGCTGAACTGATTTGGCTTATTTTGGTCTTGAAATGTTCGTGGAAGTCCAGGGAAGGTTTAAAAGGTGAGAAAAATATTTTTTAGGCGGTACGAAGTTTGCCGGGTCAGCTAGTAAAGAATATAAATATCTCATAGTTACTGGTTTCAGTGTCAAAAATATTAATCATAATGTCAATGTTAACTAACCAATTATTTGTACTGGTAGGTTACTTATTAAAAAAACTGACTACAGCTCCCTTTTTTTTTCAAGTCGGTTGATTAATCGTAAGTGTAACAAACACTTTTCTGAAAACCACATCAAATTCGGTTCAGATAATTGCGAGATAGTAGCGCACATAAATACATACACACAGGTGAAACTGTGAACGCCCTTTTTATTTCTTTAAGGCATTTAAACTGTCAAACACCAAGCGGTCACCGGTGACCGCAAGCTATTCTATAATTGTGTCTACAAAACCGGTACTCGACGAGTTAAGCCTCTTTCCTTGATATTTAGGAACGGTGTAAATATTGGCATTAGAATTCTATGTACAATAATTGCTAATAAAAATGTCTGTTGACGGTACTAGTAAAAAAGTAGACAGCATTTATTCTCGAAATGTCTGAATCCATTCTTTAAAGTTCAGTTTAGTATAAGTAATTAAAAATGAATCATGATATTGAGATTAGTCAATAAATGACACAATACTAATTTGTTGTGATTGTAAAATTATTACAATAAGGCTCGAATACTGAAGACTATTCAATACTGTCATTTTACAAAGAATTTGTTGGGTACCGATTTAATTTAGTATTTCGACATAAAATCAAATGAATGTTATCTTGGATCACTATTCAATCTCAAATACAATGTAATTTTGTTTTATTAAGGTAGTATTAACTCGTCGAGCACCGTCAATATAGACACAATTAAAGAACAATAGGTTGCGGTCACCGGTGACCGCTTGGTGTTTGATAGTTTAATTATAGTAAAGGGTAGTTATACAATTTTTGTTGTAATATCCGTCTGGTAAAAGTAGGTTATTAAAACATTAGATACGTATTTTTTCTTTTTGTACAGAATTAAATACCTTCGAAGATAAATTGACTTGAAATATTCTATGACGTCAGCATTTACAACATTTTATAGGGTACTGTGGCGTATTATTAACTTAAAATACGTTTTATATATATAAAAAAAAACAAAAAGTAAATAATACGTGTCATATATTTTGTCATTGTCTAACTAATGGACTTAATAGATTTTTTATTTTCGTACCCTATCAGTGTACGAATATAATAACAGTGCCCTACTTTTATTATGTTTTTAACACTTTCATTTTGGTTAATTAAACTGATTTCTTATTCTAGCAACAAATAACATCTTCATTTCTAATCTAGTACCATTAACGTAGTTTTAAGCTATAATAAAATTATGGGTGAATGTCTACCGTCCGTGCAAATCAAACTTACTTAAAATAAATCAGTGCTGGGTGACTCCTGTACCTAGCTTGCATGTACATATGTGTTAGCATGTTTTTTCTCTACCGTACTGTAGGTACTTTTTTATTTACTTTCCCTTTTCCTGTTTGATTTTAAGTAAAATATGCCATAATTTGTTTCTACTATATTTTTCTTTTTATTGTCTCTTTTTTGTTTTATTTATGTAGCATCGTGCCAGGTGCCAAAAAAACAATTGTCATAAGCTAATTTCAAAGGAATATGATTTTAACAATATGATTTAACACTATGCTTGTAGATTATCTTAAAAACTAGACAAAGTCTTATCACTAATACCAATACTTATAATACTTTTCCTAGAGTTTCGGGCAAAAATAGACAATAACATATAATAAATCCCGATAACTGATAGACATTTTATGGCCCTATTGTAACTTAAGAAATAAAGGTAAAAGTCGGTCTTTTGTTTCATTATTGCGTAGCCAAAACAATGTAAATTCCAATGTAACAGTGGGTGGGCCTATTGCCCTATATTAATTATAATTAACTAGCAAATTGTTGCACTTTTACCTGTGGATTCTAATACTAAATTATTAAGCATATAAATATATCTACAATGGAAGGTTTTATTACACAATGGTAATCTCTTCCAGATAAACTTTGGATATAATTTTTATAAGAAATCAGATGTAGGGTAGTTAAGTGCACAATAAAAACTAATTATATAAAATAGTACCTACAATGCGACTTGCAATAGATATAATACATAATATATTATAAATATAATCAACAACGCAATCATATTATATTAATTAATGGCTCTCCGGCCACCATAAGCGCGGGCCTGCGGACGGCGAGCATGGGTGGCTCGCCACCTGACCAGAACCAGACCCGAGCGTATTGCGCGTCGCGTTCCACGCGCGCCTCAAAGAGCCATCAGACCACCACAGATGGGGCCCAATACGGCCGATGCCGATTCGGAGTCGCGGAGAACCTAACGGGTAACCGGGGCTCCGACTCGTCTTGCAGGAGAAGGAACGGGGTGGTATTTAGTCAGTAAGAGTCTGACACTCCCCTCCGCCTAACCAAGGCGGGAGAAGTCAAGCGATGATTTTTCCCCCTCAAAAAAAATACTAATTACTATTATAATTTACAGATTTAGTTATAAAGTAAGTTTGCAGTATTTCTTATGACGGTAGTGTTAAAACTAAAATATAAAAAATGTGATGGGTCTGCAGGTAGATGCATATTTCGAATATCTGAAGATTAAAGGTGAACGCACACTTATCTGAGCTGAATGCGGCGAACGAGGCGGACGAAACTTATTTCGAATTTAGAATTCTCCATATGAAATCTTGATGAAATCTTTTGAAACCTCGCAGACGTCCATGGGTCAAATCGTCCGAATCCAAAGTGTTATTTGGTACAAGGTATACCAAACTAGATGCTTACTTAACGCACAGCTACGCTTGAAGGTGAAATAATTTTTAACCAACTTCAAAAAAACAAGGTTCTCAGTTTGTATGTATCTACGTATGTTTGTGCGCAGTTATCTAGCGATGAGCAGAACCGATTTTAATGCTAAAAAAAAGAGGGATTTGAAGTCAACTTTTTATATGTAGTTCAAAATACAATTATAAATTTGCTTTTTATTTCAATTTAAGCATACTTGGATAATTCTCCTATGGGTGCGTTCACAAACATACGATGTCACATACATAGGACACCCAAACTCGGACCACAATTTTTAATATACCTCTATATAATAACATACACGTGGCTCCGTGCGGGAAAGGAACCCACTAGAAGTTGATTGGCAGACGGTTGCTCAGACACCGTGCCAATCGTTTAGTAATCAGTAGAAAAAGCGGTGTAGGGTTTTTCCTTAAAGAACGTAAATATATTCATGTATCTAAACAAACAAACATGCATCGTAATTTGTAATAATTGACGTAGAAAAAGATCACCATGTCGTGACAATCGGTTTCGATTGCAAGTATTAATTTAGCGATCCACGCGACACGATACGCAAGTATGTCTATAACCGTAGTAAATATGAAACTGCTACGTTTCTGGTGCGCCACGACATGTAACTCCACGGTAATGTGTTTTAGTCTTTAATTACGACGTGTCGCATGTGAGTGAGATAGCAATAAAAGTCGTTTGCGCAGGCGAATATAAGGGAGACGATAATCGCAGCCTGCCATTATTATCGTGGAAACCTAACCGTCACGAAAACTCTGACCCCGTGTCTCTGATTTTCATCTTGCTGCTGCCTGATACGTGGAATCATATTTCTGAATAATTTATCCAGCAGACTTCGTCACCTGCACTAGAGACTAGAAAACAAAGATGTTTAACGGAAACACGTCCATCAAACATATCAGCAAGTTAACAATGGAATCTTCCCACGTGTTGCTGCTATTCTACCGAACTGAACCTTCACCAGTTATTAGTATAGTTCGTACTGGCAGATGAAACGAAATGTTATTTGATTTTCATCAAAATGGATATTCATCATGGAATAAAGATCGAAGGTATAATCGTCTACCCCCGAAAAACCAGTAAGTGAAATAAGTCCAAAAATCAAACTTTATAATTGTTTTTGGCATTAATCAAGAAAAAGGTGCAGAAGAAGAAGAAGAATGCAGAATGACCTGGGTCATAGGAAGCAATACTAGAGAAATATCCTCCAATTTTCGACAGACAAGCAGTCTACCCGCAACTATAACATTTATGATTTCTCAATATAAAATGGATAAAGCCGAGCCAACCTGATTGTGAATGAGATCCGACAGGCTGGGTGCAAAATTCCTGTTGTGTGGTCCTCTCATCAAAACATCATATAGTAAGGTATGTGACAATAATTAAATAGAAAAGCGCTCAGTCCTTGGCTCGATCAAAAAGTTACAATGTCTACTAAGTAGACATCTTATATCCCGAGCGTAAGACGCGTCGCGTTCCGCGCGTGCCTCAAAGAGCTATCAGACCACCACGGCTGAGGCCCAACAGGGCTGATGCCGATTCGGAGTTGCGGAGAACCTGACGGGTTACCGGGTCTCCGGCTCGAAGCGCAGGAGAAGGAACGGGGTGGTTTTTAATCAGTAGGAGTCGTGACACCCTCCCGCCTCACCCAGGCGGGAGCAGTCATTCGATGATTTACCCCTTAAAAAAAACTTTATAATAATCTTTTTATAATGTTGTTCCAGGAACCAACATCTAATTCACAACAGTACTTCACTCCGGCTCCGGCTATCCAGTCATAAGAATAATCACTTGTTCTCTTCGATACAAGTAAGTTTTGGTGATTCCAATCATATTACATATTACGACTTCGCTCACTTTGTACAATCCCACAGGGTCAGATATATGATACAAATCTAACATTGTACTGACTTAATCTGGTGGTCATGTAGCGGATTTTAACGTGGACCACCGCCTTACAATACGAGCAAAATTTTTTTTTATTATTTTTTATTTATTCATTTACATCAGGCAACGAAGGCACATATTAATACAATAATACAATAATACTATAATATAAAACATAAAATACTATAAATACATAATTATACAAGTTATTAATTTAAATCGTTGTTAGTTTAATTCACGATTGCGGCCGCTTTTGAGTTTGAAAATCATACGATGTTTTACATACCCTCGTGCGCGCGGTGCACGAGGGTAGTTCATCAGTCTTATGTCGGGTAAAGCGCATAAACACACTGCTTACTTGCTTGTTTAAGTTTTATAACATACTATTTCTATCTAATAATACTATTCATTTCTTCGAGTTTCATTCTTCATTTTTCCTGCTATACCGCTTTGCGGTCAAGCTATAGTGGACTCTAAGGACCTAGCAATAGGGATTAATTTCCTAAACTCTGTTAGTGGCTAATGTGCAATTACTCACTACAGTGAAATTGTAGATTAGAATCGTAATACAAAGTATTTACCTCAAAATTTCCATCACTTTAAACTTTCCATCTCTTTTGAATTGGCTTCGGTTTTTTTTTATAATATTACAGATTAATTCTCCACGGACTCGAGGTCCGTGCCCTTGTCATACATTTTTTTTTATTGTAATACATCTAGTCAATTTTTATAAAGTAAAGGCTTTTTATTGGCTTCGGTTATATATCATAGATTTGTCACTTTTCAGTTGGATGCAAAACGGACGAGTCTGCTTGGTCACGTAATGAAGAAACTATTGAACCAAGACTTGCTGAAAAATGGCCGGTAACACATCATCCGAGGATCCCGTATGTATGAAACAACTGCTGGTTGAGTTGAGGACATCACAGTATATCTACTACAAGTAAGCCTCACCAAATTGGGAAAGTTGGTACTAAGCATTGAGGGCTCGTCTTAATTCTGTAAACACTGGTTTAATGTAATATTTAAATGACCCCTTCGGTCACTGGATCGAGGGGGTCATAAGCGGTACATTCGCTGCTTTGTCATTCGATGATGTCAGGCACAAGAAATAGAGCCTTATCTCAAGCTACACCTTAAAGTTTTTTGTATACGAGTTCATAAGCGTATGTAGGATATTTCTTGTAATATCTTTTATAAATCAGTGATAGGAGAGTATTGTTCATTGACACCGTGTTTCTCAAACATATTTTACCTAATGCGAAAATATTTTTTGTTTTGACATAATCCATATTGGACTCGAATCCTTAGGTTGCAATCAGTTGCCCAGTATCATTAACGATGTCATTTCGCCGCTTCTATTCGTATTAACCGTTCTGCAAAGTATATTTTTTATATAAAAATTATTATCATTATTTGTTAAGCCAGTATGTAAGATATTGCGAATAATATTTATTTTGCATAAACCAGTGACAGAGGGGTATTGTTCATTGACACCGTGCTTCTAAAAAACATATTTTAGCTAATCTGATTCTTTTGCTACTTGCATCCATTGGCTCCCTACGACTCTGGCGATGTCTTCAGTCTACCTAGCAGATGACTTTCTCAGCTTCTGATTCAGAGTCGATACTCCAGTACTTACCTTGCCCGACGGTCGTCATTTCTTCGAGCGTTGTGGCCTCCCCATCCCGTCATCCTGCAAATTTTGCGAGCTATGTAGGATATTGCTTGAAATAATTGACTATTATGTGGTATTACAGTTGTTGACATTGGTTGTCTCGATATTTTATTAGGTAACTGTAAACCTCAGCAATAACTAAAAATGACAATGTTATATGTAACTGTAAATGGTAATATTTAGAAAACTACATCAATCATGATCATTTAATTTTTATCTTTTTAATTTAGTAGGTAGATTAAATCTACGTATAAATAAATATAGAAACATTAGCTTGTCGTATAAAAATATTTTGTTGCACACGTTTTATGAACTTTTTTTTTATTTTTTCACATAGGGTAAAAATATTAATATTTTCTAAAAATTATATTTATATTTTTAACTTCAACGTTAAATTCAACTCAGTAGCCTCATACGAAAAAATATTACATTGATTGCTGCAGCGAACATAACGCGCGCACTAAACGCGCGCCGCGTTCTTTTACCTATTGTAGGAGGTAAAGTTTAAATAAACCTATTATGTTATACACATTCATTTAGTATAACAAATAAGCTTTCTAACGATATATAACACTTCATATTTAATTAGCGTTTAAAACACGTAACAAATAAATTTACATTACAAGTGGATCCGTTATCTTAAAAAAGCGTTATTTTAAGGTCGTGTCACATACAGGATAAATTATTTTAAATTTCGTTACGTATTTTACATGACATAAAAATATAATTTATCTATATTAATTATTAATTAAAACAGTTGTCTTATCGACATATTAATTTTAACCGACTTAAAAAAAATGTTCTCAATTTGACCTATATGTATGTACCTTTGTCCTCGGTTATCTGGATCGATATTGATTTGACTGATTTGGTTGGCGCGGTGGCTGGGCAACTGAAGTGTAACAAATACTTTCTTTTTTTTGAAGTCGGATAAAAAATCGTTTTTATTTCATTCAAAATATACTTAAGGTATTTTTTTTTTTATAACTACATTGGCAAACATTTATTTTTGATATGTGTACTCGGATTCCGGTACGGTGGGTGAGCTTTGACCTTTACCCTTATCTCGACTGACGGCGGCCATGTTTTTTGTTTATATCCAAAAAAATGGCCGCCTATTTGAGTCTCAGTGAACAATAAGTGGAATCATGGTTTACGTTCGGTAAAGAATAAATATTAAAAATCTATTGGGTAGACAGAAATAAAGCATCAATGTGCACGTCGGAGCGCAACGTGACGCAACGTTACGCAACGCGCAACAAAAAAGGGACTGTAGTCCCTATGCGTCATTTACTTTTATATTCAAAAAGGGATACTCGAGTCCCTTTGTCTAGAGTCTAGAGTCTCATGTTGCGGTGCTGGTGACGACAAGAGGGGTATTGTTCATTGACACCGATTATTCAAAAACATGTTTCAGCTAATCTGAAAATATACCTCTATTTTGTGAAATTTGTCATTTAATCACATCGATATCGATATCGATGTCATTTTGACGCGGGAGCGTCAAAATGTATGTCATACTAAGTTTTGCGCATTATCTTTCGTCTTCATGCGCGCACTTAATAAATAGGCGGACTTAGTACCTAAGACATTCTCTACCAGTCTATTCACATTCTTCAGCTTCAATCTGTTGTGACACATCACGAGCAATGACTTTTGTATATACCTACATTCGTAATCACAATCACAAATGTAAGTTTTTCGATGAAAATCAAAGAATCAACCCCGATTTTGAAACTTCATATAATTTAAATAAATTTACATTTTACGGTGGTGCAGAATCGTGCGTGCCATTCAATTTTTTTTTAATATATCAGTCAATCTGTATGTTTCGGTTTGCACCCTACAGCCTTAATAAGTTTCTCAGTGACCTTCGTGACGTCATCCCGTCGCTCTTGCTAGTAGTGAGTGTTGCATGCTCGTCTTTTGTCTAAAATATCTACATTATTGTTATTTTTTGTCCTATTTAATGTTTATACACACATAGTGTGCGTAGGTGGACTTATACATTCTTTACTACCTACGTCTACCTTGGGATGGTACACAGGGGGCATTAATATTTTGTTCAGCAAAATAAAAAATTAGCATAAGCCGAGGAGTATTGTTCATTGACACCGATTTTTTTAAACATAATAATAAGTTTTTTTTTTTGTGAAAAATTTGTTGGCCCGTGGCACTAGCGATCCCTGTGAGCGATCCCATATGAAGTTTATATTACACTTACGATATGCCTTCAATTTTTTATTTATTTGTCTTAATTTTTGTTCCTCTTTTGTACTTTTAACTGCCGTAACTGCCAATCCTAGGAGATCATCCAGCGATATCTAGAACAAAATAAAGAAATTAAGACATTACTCTTCATATACATAATTATGTCAGCTCATCGTAAAAAAAAATTTTATTGCTGTCAAAAATTACATTCGACGCCCACTCTAAAACTGTAATAAGTTTCGCAGTATCCTTAGAGATGATTCCGCGCCGCTCCCGTTCATATAAGGCGCTGCGTGCACATCTTTCTTGCTTACTGGAGGCAAAGTAAATTATATTAATACATTTATTCAGCTACAAAGGGTGCGTACCCTTTATTTATTTATCCAGCGTAGGATAAATAAATATTGCTTGAAATACTTGTTTTATATGAACCAGCGTCAAAGGAGATTGGTTTGCACCACTAGGTCTATCGCGCTCTGTTGCCGCCGGTCTATCTGTTGGGTTATCCCTGTGGCTCCTGATTGCTGATTCGGGCTCTTCGATACCTTTAAGTGATCCATTATGGTCGTTTGCACCACTAGGTCTACCGCGCCTCTGTTGGGTTATCCCTGTGGCTCCTGATTGCTGATTCGGGCTCTTCGATACCTTTAAGTGATCCATTATGGTCGTTTGCACCACTAGGTCTACCGCGCCTCTGTTGGGTTATCCCTGTGGCTCTTGATTGTTAATTCGGGGCTTCGATACCTTTAAGTGATCCATTATGGTCGTTTGCACCACTATGTCTACCGCGCCTCGGGTGGGTTATCCCTGTGGCTCCTAATTGTTGATTCGGGCTCTTCGATACCTTAAGTGATCCATTGTGGTCGTCAAAATAACTATACCTCTATAGTAAAGTAGTTTGTAGTGGAAGTTGCTGCACTCGTAGTGGTCTTTCGTCTTCATGCACACATGGTGTACATATTCGGATTGGATGCCTCAATCTAAAATTTTATGTTTGGATTTTTAGCCTTAATGGGTTACTCAACGACTTTAGTGACGACATGCTGCCGCTCCCGCTTGTAATGAGCATTGTTGTGTCTTCTCCTGATCAAATATTTGTTATTGTTTTTCATTTTATCATAATTGGAGTTATTTCGAATTTTGAATATACATAATTTATTTTGTTTTCAAATGTCGTTACCATGTAACGTGTTCCTGTACTCTTGCATTTACTGTGTAATAATAATAATTTTAATCGAATGTTTTAGAGATTCTTATATTGACAAAATTATTTTTTTGGTGACTTACTATTGTTACTAATAATAATTGAATAAGTTTGTATAACATTTAATGAAACGATGTTCTGATTTTTTTGTTTCAATAAATACTAAACGTTTATAATTTGTGTGTTTTATTTTATTGCATATTTCAAGACATTAAAGTAATCATAATATAATTTAATCACTCATTTATGTTACTTTTATCTGGGATTTTTTTAAAAGAAATGAAATGGGCAATCAATAAAATAAGAAAATTATAAAAAATAAAATATAAATAGGTTATGGCTTTCGATTTGCTGCTACACTGCATCATGCAGTGTGCATGACACTGAAATTAATCTATAGAATTTCGAATCATTTCTTATTTTGTAGGAGTATAAAAATAAAATATAAACTATAGAAAATCTTAAAAAGTGGCATATGGCATTTTTTTCCAATTTTCTTTCAATGCAAAACAGAAATGGATTAAATCCGTTTTGTAGTATTATTAGTAGGTAATATTACTATTATTTATCCAACCAAGGCCAATGTAGCGACGCGCGCGCTCCTGGCGGCGTATTCTAGGGTTACGGTAGCTACGGCATTTTATGTGGCCTACGTGACCTGTCACGTACAAGATTTTATTAACCAAATAAAATAACTAAGGAGTAGGTATATGATCATCGTTTGAGAGACAACATACTAAAATGGCAAGTATAAATAATTTCCAAAAACTACTTCAACATATACGGGGGCAATCAGGGCTCATTTGCTTTATTTGCTAAGCCACGGCGTAATACAATGTGGCTACGTATGCTGTGTTGTAGCCAAATCGCAAAATCCTTTGGTGAGGTCAACCATGTTTCTACTGATTTCTTTATTCATACTATTTCAATTTTCAACAACGATTTACAATGTATATATTATGTTAAGTTGCTGAATATATTTGGGTGCCAAAAGTTGAAAAAAAAAATCATTTTAATAATAAAACAAAATTGTTTAGAAAACATAAGCAAGGTTTGTTAAACAATTTTATTAAAATATGCTTTATTTTGAATGGCGAGAAACGTTAAAAATAGAGGTATTTATGATAAATGAAGGAAATGACAGTAAATTTAAAACATACCTCTATAATTGTTTTTATCTGCAGAAATATATATTATGTTACAGCCAATGTGATTAATTTGATATTAGGTATTAATAATGACTGATCATGTACATAGTAACCCAATTGTAAATGTAATAAATTAATCACTTTAACCAGATATTATAAATAATAGCAGGCTCAAGTTATCTAAGTGATAAAAAATGACTTAACGACTCAGTCACGAGTGCGGTCTTAGCGGTGAGCCCCGTGGCGTTGTTGAAAATCACGGTTGGGCGACTAGCCGAAATAAATACGGCTGAGTCAAAATCCGCCGCTGCTCGAAATGTTCAACTTTTCAACCTGGGTTTAGCTGTGGGGGTTTTCGAGGATGGTGAAAATGATGGTGCTGTCAAAATATATATATCAAAAATAGCGGCTGCACGAAATTTTCAATTTATCGCTATGGGTGTCGTTTTCATGGTTTTCGAGGGTGATAAAAATGATAGTGCTCCCAAAATGTACATCCAAGATGGCCGCTAGCCGAAATTTTCAATTTATCGTCATGGGTGTCGTTTTCGTGGTTTTGGAAGGTGGTAAAAACGATGAATGTGTCAAAATGTAAATCCAAGATGGCCGCTAGCCGAAATTTTAACTTTATCGTCATGGGTGTCGTTTTCGTAG